ATTTTATTCACAAATAAAACGTTGGGCTTCTTTGCCTCGCCATTTATTTCTACTCAGTGTATCTACATGGTTCATAACAAATTGGTGGAGTTGTAGCCTGTATTTTGGATAGCTTTGAAGTCCTTGGTGAAACATCATACTTGTCCTTAAAAGTGTTCCTGTACTGCTCCTTTTTGTTGCTCCTAACAAATGTTAGATGCTTTATTGTTCGAATTGTCTTGTTACTTTTACGTAATACTGACATTATTTCCTAACTTCGTTAGCGAAAAGTAGTTAAATTGGTCTGCTGGCTGAACTAACAATGATCTAAGCCTCTCAGCACTATTGACCATTACTCATTTGTATTTCCTCTGTTTGTGCATTTGCGTTCTGGACTTTAAGCGGACAGATTTGAAGCCAGAAGCACTTAATGACCCTTTCTATATTTGTGAAAAACCACATTTTGCTTGTACTTCTGCAAACTTTAGTTTCGAGTAAAATTATTGGTGTTTTACCTGAAAAATACAGATCAGTTATTTAACATGAGGTCTTTCGATTGCTTTTTATAAGGGTGGGTAGTACTTTAGTGTATAACGGTAGTTTATCGGCAAGTGAATGAGGGGGTATTCATGTATAGGGGACACATCTCACTCAAAGTACAGTGTTATGGTTTGATCATTTGTTTTCCTCTGAATGACCGGACAGCATTCTTAAACGCTATGGAATAGGTGCCACTCTTAATCTAACACGCTAATCAAGAGGTGGTCTTCGTGAGTATATATGTATGCCTGTGTGTGTTGGATGTGCACCAAAACTTGCTAGGTTTTTAGTATTGGTAAGCTGGAGTTTGTCAATGTCCTTACTTCCTGTCCGTAACAGGAATATGTCATCAGTGTACTGTAGACTCAATCTCCAGGTGAAAAATTGACTTCGGTAAGTATCTGACCAGCGGAAGATATCCAAAAAAACTGAGTATTGTGTGAAGTTAATAAGAAATCGAGGAAAAAGTATGGCTGCTGTTCGGTACTAAAATATTTTTCTCTACAATCTGAGGTAAGTGAAGGTCAGTTAAGTATGTTGTCCATCTCCCCGAGGATGCCGTAGGCTTTATTGGGCTTATTAATCGAGACCAACCGTTATGCATTAAAAGCTGGTTAGTTTTAAGTTCCCAAAACCATTCTATCTGTGATTTTCGTGGAAGTATCAGTCACTTATATGAGATTGGTATCCTCGAAAATTGGGCTTAGTTTCTTCTGCTTTTTAGGCATTCAGTGGTTATTTTTGACAACTTTTGACAACCCTAGATTTTGTCTCACGTGCACAGATATCTACTTGTTTTCATACCTCATTGTCATTTAGCATCTGAGTAAAACATTCTGTTATCAACTGAACAAGTAAGTCAGTCCGAAAGTCGTGTATTACGGTGGACGAGAACGAGTTGTCGGACAAGGTAGTAGGGTTTAATACTCCGTACAAGTCAGGGGCTGTTTTTCACTTGTAGGATACTGGGCTATCCATTCGATTTAGCCTTTGTTAAGATGTATCTTGCGAGCATTTATTTTGTCGCCAACTTTTGGAATCTGAACGATTAAAACCGTTCTGTTGGATGATAGTAATTAAATTCGCAATATTATTTTAAATACATGGGTGGATGTTACAATCACGTGATATTTGGTAAATTTGAATACGAAATGGTTGACAGAACGTGTAGATAACACATACACGCAAATCGATTTGTCGTTTTCGAAAATGTTAAAGCAAGGCAAGAGTCAAATGAATATTGTATTGTGAATATTTTATAGTGAACTGCTTCTACGCCAAAATGTTGGCTGTCAGGTAGACGGAAGTTCCATAAGATATCATTTTATGGTGTGTCTGCTTTCGATGCAATAATCAGGTTAAGTTATTATATCAGCCCAGCCTAACCTCTTACTAGCTTCAATGCTTATTCTTTATTGTTATACTGTGGCCATTAGTTGGATTGTACGGCGATATTCTGTAATGTCATATTTTGATAGGGTTCCATAGACAATGTATTATTTCTAATTGAAGTTGTATGACAGCTGTGTTTTTTCTGAGGAGCGATAACGATTTTCAAAGCAATGGATCGCGTGACTATTTCTTCTTGTTTCTGGAAGGGTTCGAATGTGTTGACTTTGGAATTGCATATTATATCCCACTCCATGGTGTACTGTGTTTAGCATTGCCTTTCATCTAAATGCAAGTCGAAGTACAAAGAGCAGTCAGTGAACTATGAGAGTTCTCCTTGAGATTCGCACTCACGTCATTAGGTTATTGAGATCAACGAGACTGACGGTTTGTTAACTGTCGTATAAAAGTCATCAAGACTGTGTTGTTAGGATGGGACAGATAGTGTTAACTTAGGAAATATGACTTCTCTTTCGGTTCTATCAGAATAATGTTAGCTTTCCTGACTTTTACATTAAGTAGCCTGAAGTGAATACGACACGCAAGAGTTTTTAGTGTTAAATCTTTCCGCCTCATGTCTTCTCTTATTCCTCCTCCCTTTTCATAAGCTGTTCAACCTGTTTTGTCTTTGTATCTTGCGTTTTTGAAGCTATATTCTCAACTTCATGGAAGGACTCTTGGCACCTAAACTTTAATGAAGTTGGTCATTAGTGTTTTTGACTGGAATCCTAGAGTTGCTGTATTTGGCTTAGAAAATATACACTAGACCCTTGTTTTTACTGTCCGTATCTCGACTTTCCACGATTTATCTTGTAGATATGCAGCGTATTACTATTTGGTATGTTTAAACTTGTGATTGTTATTCGATCAGGTGTTAAAGCTAGTGGTTCGTATCGAACTTGAATGGACTACGTTGTTCAGGTGTTCGTTGCACATTCCTAGCAGCACTAGCTAAAATGGAAGTTATGGGATCCAGTGTAGTAGTGAGTTTTCTGCCCTAGTGCTTAGTGCTATGCTTACACCTGCAAGACCACGAAAGCTAGTTATCGAATCTCCAGAAACTCGAAGGGTGAATTTTGCGGATTCACCAGATTGGTCAGGAGAGGTCAGGTGAATAACCAGACTTGGGTCCTGTATGCGTGTCTCACAAACACAGCACACATCCATGGCCCGAGTTGCTAGAGTCTTTGCTAACGAAGCCTGTTGACCAATTTGACGGAGGGTGGGGACATTGGAGGCTTTAATATGTAATTTGGAGCGTGGTTTAAGGAGACCATTGATGCTGTTCTGTGGACTCAGATCGTTGTCGAAAGCTGCAGAGGTAGGAGAAATTGAAGATGATGCAGCATCATTAATTGAGAGACGTGAAGGAAGATTAGAAGGTAATGATGGAGGAGGTGGATAGCAGTCAGAAGAAACTTGAGTGCTGACAGAGTTGTGAGGGCGGTTGACACTTCCCGGCTGCCCACACCGTGGAAGGCTATTTTCTTCTTAAGGTACCTGAAAGAGATTTGTGTGACCGCAGAGCCCATCGGACATCTGCTTGAGGCCTGTCACACGAAGCCTTTTGAGTATGATTATTTTGAACTTTTGTATTTTTGGGGCCGAATGGTCGAGAGGAAACGACAAGTGAACCAACACAGCCGGCCCGTCAGGCCGTGGGGTATGGTGGAGTGTGTTATTTTTGGGGCCGACCTTTTCTAACCCTCCCTTCCATTGAGAAGGCAGCATCAGCATGGCACTGCTGGTCATCCAAGGGAAACACCTTACTGCTGTCACACCCCATCCAGCTAGCAGCAGTACGACTTCGCCCTCAGACCCCCATCATAGTGTAGCAATTTACACTATAACGGTAACTGCCTTTCGTCTAACCACTATCCAATAGACCTTTCTGGTATGGTAGGACCTCGAGGGAACAAGTGTTCCACCAGCATAGCTCGTTGGGTCATTGTGATATGCAAGCCCGACCACCACGTCAAGGTAGCAGCTATCGGCCGGGAGCACTAGCTAAAATGGAAGTTATGGGGACAAGTTGTGAAGGGGAAGAGGACAACACCTGGGTGTATGAATTCAGTTCCTATTAATGCTAATTGCATCGCAAGTTGCAGACCAATTGTTTGTGTTTACTGATGACAGAAGTCTGTGATTAACTGTATAGGATTGATTGTAGGGGAAGTGATAGAGTTGGATATTCTTACTTAACCATTGTGCCTACCCGTTGGATGTTGCGATTGTGAGCGTGCACCGACTGAAGTGATTGAGATATGTATTCCGACTGCCGAACTACCGTTTATACCGACTCACGGTGTTATCTGAGGTAAGATTAGATAGAAAAAAAACCTTGGGTTGACCATATCAAAGAATTTCACTGGGATAAGAAGTCACTGACTGTTGATTTGATCCATATGAGGAAGTGTAGGCTATCTGATTAGGTCCTCGATATGTTGGGGACTGATGTGACTTGAAATTGATCACAATAGTGCAGACTTATCCACTTTTTTCCTCTGCCTTCGTTCTTCTCATGTCTTCCTTGTTCATGTCAATATATGTCTGCTTCTGTCAATTCCCTTGTTCTTGATTGAGTGAATTGCGACTGGTGAGACTGGTACAATACTGTAGCAAGCTTTGTAGTGTCCATAAGTTGGATGAACGTGTTGTTCTTATATGAGAACTTGGACGCAACTTTTCTTTCGCTTATGAATAGTTGGTGACTCGTAGTATTTTTGTGAACGTGATGGTGAAGCCACCTTGAGTTGTATGTGGATTTCTTGTCACCCGACTGAGACACTAGTAGTGAGTAGAGTTATAGTCACTTAGTAATGATTATCTGTTGTACCAGTCATGTTGTGTAGATCGTAAGTAGATATTAAACTGACGTTCTCTATTTCTGAGAATGATAACTGACTGTGTTGTCTGAGTTGATGGTTTCTTACCCTCTGATTAATATGCAATATGCATCATCTTGGAATTTGGACCACTGATGTGTGTGTGTGTGTGTGTGAATTGTACATAAGCACGTCGGTGTTTTTGTCAAGGGGAGTGTTGTCCATTGCTTCTTCATAATGGACTATCATTGTTTTGTTTCAGTTGAAATGTCGGCTTCTTCAATTGGTTGTTCTCCGAGACAGGATGGAACAGCTGTGAAATGGGCTAAGTTACTTCCCGTTCACGACTCGTCTATGCATGAACTTTCTCAAGAAGTGACCACTCTTGGATCATCTGAAGGTTGTTTTATCTTTTCCTTGCATCATCTAATTTCGTATTCTGCTGTTAGATTGTTCCATTATTGTAAGAGATGAACGTGTTTCCAGTTCACATTGTATGCTAATCAAAGATCCGGATAATGTGGTATGGTTGTATGACTGCAGTGAAACTGGCACACGGTGTAATAATGGCAAGTGGTTAAATCAAGATTGCGTCACTCTGCATACTGGGGATTATTTTCACCTTGTATGGGATGAAGTGGATGCTAGTAGAAGTAAGTTGACCTGTTTTCCAGGAAAGAATAATGGCTGCATATTTTTCCTCCTAAGGAGTTGGGTTTTGTGTCCTGTTCGCTGATGATTGCAAAAGTATTGATTCAGTCGGTGAACATGATAAAGCCATAACTTCTCTGGAATCTCAACCGTCAACGTCATCATCTTCGAATCTGTTGAAGCCATCAGCATCAAAGTTATCAGCTGAGGATGAAGATTTAGAGAAATGTTTAACTTGTGTTATCTGTGGAGATATTTACTTTGAATGTTGTAGGTATGTTGGGGCAATTTTGTTCAAAAGAGAGTTTGAATATATATTTTTAGTGTCCAACCATGTCTGCATAGTTTTTGTACCCTTTGCTGGTTGAAATGGCAAAAGTCTGAATGCCCAATGGTAAGTAATGCTGTTTTGTTTTCATGTTTATTAACTGTCACGTGTTCTTGAAGTGTCGTAAAGCAGTATCAGCTTATGCTAAGAATCACCAACTGAATGATTTGGTCGAGGTGTTCCTTCGTAAATATCCAGGTAGGTGTTTGTGTGCTTTTTTTATTTACATTGTGACAGAGAAGTCGAAGCCGGACGTGGAGCAGAATGAAATCAAACAGGAGATAACACGGTTGACTCCTGTAAGTGTTAATAAATTTTGTTTTGGAGTATCTAAAACAATTATTTTAGACTCCTAATCAAATTCGTCGTTGCCGTCGTCGATATAGTGGGTATGTTTTTGTGGTCATTTCATTCTGGAATGTATAATTTTGTGTATATTTTATGTTTTCATCATATTCGAGGATGATTTCCAGGTTATTTTATTCTTGTGACAGATTGCTTAATAATCATGCGGTTAAAATGTGTTTATGGGATATTATGTGTGTGTGTGTGTATGGTGTGCTCATCGGGATGACAAACTAATGGTTTACATGTTGTTACTTGTTTGAAGCGATCGGTCCCGGTTTGAGTCTTAATGAGAACTACATCGCTCACTGGTCGGTAGTTGCACCCGGCTGATGAGTCCCAAATAGGACGAGACTTGCGTCTTGGATTCCACTGCTACCCACTCTCCATCAATAATATAATGGGTTGTAGTTGATTACTTATTTATATCATTGATATTGTTGTTGAACCCTTCAAATATAAAATGACATGATGTACCTAAATCAAGCACAAATATTTATGCACTGGAATGATCCGCCCCTTAGTATGAAGGCTCTTGATAGTACTTTGTTGCCTAGGCCAAAGTAGGGGAGCAGGACTCGAACTAAGGGACTACTTCTTGAATGTCCAACTCATAAGTCAATAAACCAAAACTGTTATTTACTATTGTAGTTGAAATAAGTAATTAAAACTCCTGTTACTTTCATCTTTGCTCATTACTTCAATTGTGAACATGGCAACTGAATTTTCTTATCGAATTCGCTTGTTTTCACAGACCAAGTTCATTACAGTACTCTATTTCTCAAATACGATGAAAAAAAAATACTGCAAAAACTACAGAAGCAAACAGATATTCAGTGAATATATATGCACAGTACATGTTCAGTCTGATTGTTTGTGTTATTAAGGAGTAATTCAATTAGATAATCATGTAAAATATCATTTAGCCTTGAGGCATTTTTAAACATTTCTTACATGAAACTCAGTTGCTTCAATTCTAAACTTGTAGTTCGTTTTTCTATAAAGTTATGTTTTCCTGTTATGTATACAGAATTAAAATTCCAGTGAGATGGACTAGAAGTTCAGGTTGTTAACATTTTGTAACCATATTGGGATTATCTCTACTTCAGAGAAGAAGCATCCAAATTGGCACACTTGCAACCAGTGAAACAAAATATAGCTGTGGCTCATCGGTTTAGGCACCTGACTTTCAACCTGACGGATAAAATCAACGAAGAACCTCGCAGATAGGTTCATCGGTTCAAATTGCTGCACTTTATAGTAGTACACAAAGAACTGGTGGTGATTTAAAACTAGACAAAGTTGTGTGAGAGAATAAACAATTTCAAGATAACGCTTAGTGCTTTAGATGTCAAGTGGTGAATTCACTTGCTCTATTGGGACCGACTTTCAGCTATGTCACCGACAATCCTCAACTACCGTTTCCTATCGTCTGCGGGAACCCAACCAGGCAATCTGCATATCCGAACATGGCTCAGACTAACAGTTGGGGACTTCTTCGACTGGTGCCAAGTCTTGGTCTGGCCACACGAAACCATCTTCCAACTTCTAACATGACACTTCGAGATAGACGGTGGCTTGGCATGTGGGGTACATATCCAAGCCATGTCATCCGAATTAGGTTCACAACCTCATCAATCGACTTGCCTGCCTTGCCTAGTACGCTCTACCTGACCTCAACATTTCTCACACCGTTATTCCACCACACGCGAGCAGTGCTACGAAGATATCTGTGATCAAAACGCTGTAATCCTTCATGTCTTCTACTTTTAATGGCCTTACCTCAACCAGTGAGTCATGGGTTAAAACACCATACCATCTGCCCAATTTTGGGCAGTCAAAAAGTATCACTAACCTTCGCACAAAATAGGTGTGACTCATTACCTACTGCAATAGTGCGTAAGTAGTTACCCAAGACATTTCATTTTTCTCTGAGGGAAACTAGCGCGTCAGATGACACGGTTAGTGTCTTCGTATCGAAAAACATGTTGCCACCATCAGTTGTAGTTGACGATCAAAGATGTAAGTGCCCTTTCTGAGTAATTTTGAAAAATTGATCCAGGAATGTATAAATTTGTATATTGGTTCAATATACTCGATTTCAATATACCAAAAAAAGAAGAAGTGGTAAAAAGAATTTGTAGTATAGTAAAATAATAGGGTGAGGCGAGAGAAAGTCAATAAGTGAACTATGATAATCTAGTCAACGTATTGAGGAAGGTTGGGAGCATACGTCACTATAATCGATTTTGAACAGTGTCATATAAGGTTTTCAATATCTCGAAGATAGCAGTCTAGGATTTAACATTTCGCTAAGATGTTGTTGGTAATTATTTCTCATGAAATTATAACTTATTGCTTAGTGTCTTCCATTTAGCGTTCGAACTTGTTCAATGTTCATTTTACTTGGAAGGAAATACAATCTTTAGCGTATGCCAAATCACTGTCTGTTATTCTTTTATAACCAAAGATGGCTGTGGTCTTAATTTCGTCTTGAGATGTCTTCACATAATCATGCATTCGTAATCTTTATCAAAGAAGGTCCTACTCATTACCTTTACATGATCTCAAAGTAGCTCTTGTAGAGAAAGTCTTCTGCCGCGACCTGCCCACATAGATAGTATCTCAGCCCTTACGTGAATTAGAACATAGCACTACTCTGAATATTTGAAGCCGGTCACTTGAAACGTTGGTGCATTCTTAATCAATCTTATCATAGATATTCTTATGGAGGTTTCCTTCTCGTCACCTGACTACACGGGTTGACCTAATCGCGGGAGAATTCTCGTTACACCTAGAATATGCAGATGAAATAGTCCTGTTAGGTGAAGACGCTGACAAGATACAGAGTCTTCTGGACTTTGAGTGGCAATTTGAGAATGTTTGGGATGTGTTTCTCACCACCCAAATCCAAACTGTTGCTCCACGACTGGTCTTCAACAGTGCCACAGATAGCAATAGAAATTGAAGTGGTTGAGTATGTTGACCACTTCACATACCTGGGAAGTGGGATCAGCTTTGATCACTGGCTCAGTGGCCGATGAAATCTCTGCACGAATACAAAAGGCTCGGCTGTGTTTTGCAAACTTACACCACCTGTGGCGCCGCCCTGATATCCGATTGTCTATTGGGGGTTGCGTGTACTGCACAGCAGTCCCTCTGTTCTACTGCATGGCTGTGAAACATGGCCACTGAAGACATGAGAAGGCTGACTTCAGGTGTTTGACCACCGTTACCTTCGTAGCATAGACCACGTGTCGTAGTCTCACCACGTGAGTAACGCGGAAATCAGGTGTAGAGTTTCATGTAGGAGAAGAGGTGAGACAGTTGATGTGGTTGTGAACCTTCATCGACTGAGATGGCTGGCTGGGACACGTGTTATGTATGCCTAGTCGCCATCCACCTCGTCACACAATGTTGGTCGAAGTAGGTTCAGTCTGGAAAAAGACTCGAGACTCTCAGCCAGACTAAAGCATGGCATCAATGTATGAAGTGTTTGACTATTGGTTTGAGCCGTGTGGGGCTATGCAGACTAGGTGGTTGGTGTCAGTGGGACAAGTGAAACCAGTGGTTGGCGACTGTAGGTGATGGATCATAACTGAGAAGCGATGTCAGTGATGTAGATGTATGCACAATTATCCTCATGTTAACGCTCTACTGAATCTCACCACTTTCTTATTCTTCCTTTCTCTCTTTTAGTACTTTATACTTCTTCCGATTGAATTTTCTTTTCTTCATCTTCCACTTGACTGTCTTTTTAAGTGATGTACTGATATGAGGTCTGACAACTCGTAGGGTTATGCAGTAATGCCTGGTCCTATGTTGACTTGGATGGATGGATTGGTGCATTCCTCGGAAACTTTGGAAACCTGGGAGCACTGGACAGCTATCTCGTCATGGTATAGGACTCCTCAGCAATGTGCACCCAAGACCCTGCCGTGGGTTGAACCCAGACCCTGGAGAGCAGAGCCATGAGTGTGCACTGCTAAGGAGTCCTACACTGGTACGAAACAACTATCCAATGCTCCCAAGTGTCCAATATTTCTCCATCTGATGTCAGTCTTTGATGAATCCCAACCTTAAGGTCTTGACATTTATTTTGCTTTGTTGAATAGCTCCATCTGACACATGATTATGTGATTTAATCAAATACCTCGTAATTTATTTTACATTGATAAGTTAAAACTGTTTTAAAGAAGAGAATTATTTTGTTTTTCTTCTATTCATTCAATCTAGAAATTATCGATATGATAGAACTTTACCATTTACTGCTGGTATTGCTCCTCCCCAACAGGCTAGTTGTGTTATATGTTCATGGATACCTGGGTTATGTAACCCTACTGCAGGAAATAATCAGTGTAAGTTCGATATTCAGCTTTACGCTTATACCACTGCGGTCGTTGTTTTGCGCAGTACATCTGATAGATTTACGGTGTCTGTTTACTACCTCTCTAACCGGTATGCCGTTGATTTTGTGTAGGGGTTGCCATTACACAAAATGGAATTGATAACAATTCCAATTTCTTCAAAAAGGTTGATTCTCAAAGTCTAAGCGTGAATCGGTGATCTATGGGGTCGATGAAAGAATGCTGATAACTTTTATTACTTATTATTATTTATCCTTTGGGTTCCTAGTGGAAAATAGGGCTTCAGTAGCACATCGCTATTTCACTCTCTTCTCTGTAGTCTTTTCAACCTGGCTCCGCCAATGCCTAAAACCTTTCATTTCTTCCTCATACCATCTCCATTTCACCCTCGGCTCAGACACTCAACTCGACGTTTCCCATTTGGGTTCCACTTGAGGGCCTGTCGTGTGGTGTCCCCAAATGGTCTTCTCAGTGTATATCCAATCCAATCCATCTCCACTTTCTTCTGCATATTTGTTGGGCGATGGGTTGTTGGTTGGTTCGTTGCCAGGGCAAATTTCCTTGTTGCTTATTCGTATTATTCTGGCCATCTGATCTTTAGTATCGAGTGTGCGTAGGCGGCAGCTGTTCATATTGTCTGTAGTTGGTTGGAAATGCTTTTCGTAACGCGCCAAGTCTCTGAACCATCACATAAAAGCCCTGACTTGACTGAATTAGTGTTGAGAATCCGTATCTTGTTTACGCTTTATGCTGAGCGCAGTAGGTCTCCACGCTGATTTCAGGTTAACGAAGGCCTGTCTTGCTGTCTTTCCGATCCTGGATTTGACATCCTTGTCTATCCCCATCTGTAGTTGAAACGATGCTGCCTGGGTAAGTGAAAGAGATTACTTCCTTTGGATTTCTGTTGATGGTGATTGTTGCTTGTTGGTGTTGTTGACTGGGTATCTTCATCACCTTGTCCTCTTTACGTTCACCTGAAGGAATTCCCGTCTTCGCTGCCTCTTCTGTCAACTTGTTAGTTTCCGTCTGTTAGGTCTTCGAGTTTGTGCGACAAGACATTAGACATAGATCATCATGGGAAAAATCTAAATGTTCTTCTAACGTCTTTTCATCTGTCCAGCCAGTTTATGCTCCTATTCTCGCTCCTCACAGTTTCTCGCATGATCCAGTCCAGGCGACCACAGTCCGGAAGATGATCGGTGATGGTAGGCGGCAAGCTTGTCTTACTCCTGTCTTTACTTCAAAGGCATCACTGAGCTTTCCATTGTGAATCATTTGGCATGTAGCATCATATAGTATATAGCTGTTGAATGAGGTTGATAAATGTTTGTGGCGCTGGAACCGTGGTGTTCAATCAGAAGCTGTCAAATTACTTCTCGGTTGACGCTATCGATGGTCTTTTCAAAGTGGGTGAAATTGAGGTAAAGAGTTGACTGCCATTCTATGCTCTGTTCTATGATGATGCGTAGCGTTGCAATCTGATCCGCATATTATTTGTTTTTTCTGAAGCCAGCGTGTTCTGGTAGTAGTTTTGATTCCAGAGAATTTTTTAGCCTCTCCAGGATGATGCGGCCTAATATTTTGTTTGGGCTGGACAAGAGCCCGATTCCGCCCCAGTTCTTGCAAAGACTTAGTTCGCCCTTCGGGAGTCCGCTGACAAGGTAGCCCTTCCTCCAGTCAGTTGGCAGGTACCTTTCCTTCCTTCCAAACCTTGTGCAATAGTTGTGTGAGAATGTCCACTGTTGTCTCTTCGTCTGTTTTTAATGCTTCTGCAGGAATTCCATCTAGTGCTGCTGCTATCCCGGATTTCAGCAACTTTATGGCGTTCAGGACTTCTGCTTTTGTCGGACGGCTTGTGTTCACTGGTAGTTCTGCGGTTGCTGGTGGTATTTCCGGACGAGTTGCAGGTGGTGGTGGTGGGTTCAAGAGTTGTTTGAAGTGCTCAGCCCATCGTTTTCTTCGTGTCTCTTCTGTGGTAACTAGGCTTCCTTCACTATGTTTCCTTGGTTTCATATGTGTTGATCTCTTCCCTCCCAGATAGGAACCTGGTTATTTGACATATTGTTGTCAGGTCTCTCCTACCAGCAGCCTATTCTGCTTCACTTGCAAGTGCGTCGTAGGACTGCCAATGCTGATAACTAGCCGTAACAAATCATCCGTTGCCCAAAATTAAGAAACATAGGTTACTGAATTCATACTTGTTTATTCAATAATTGCATGCCTCAGATAAGGTTTAAAGACCCTAGATTTAATGCACGAAGAAGAAGAAGCAGTCGAAAAATGCATGTAGCTGATGAGCCCTAACTTGAGACTAAACGACTGTTTCTAGTTTCAAGTTATCCTCAGCGGATATCACTATATTATGATGACTTATCCTTAGTAGTATAAGAGCGAATGTATGTTGCAAAAGAATATTCATACCTATGAAATTATTTTCTCGTTTTGGTGATATCTGCTTAGTGGCTTGTACTGAAATTGAAGGCATGTGTTTCGTCTTATGTTGGATTCATCAGCTGGAGGAACTCGCACCACAGTGAGTGGTGTTGTTCCCGCTGAGGCTCGAATCCAGTAACCATAGCTTTAAATGCCTAAGTGTTACCCACTAGACCACCTGGATACAATAGCCACTTCTTATGCAATGGGAAATTACAAGTATTCCCTCATTTCTTTATCAACTTTTTATTGTTGTTATTGATTAGATCATAAATGAATTAAAAGTTCTGTATACTAGTAATAATAATTATAATGATAATTCTTTAATAATTAGGTTCATTCCATTCATTTTGTGCGTGTTGTGGTCGACCGATACCCTATCAACAAACATTACATCCAGATGTAGTAAATACAACCGAGTGTGAAATATGCCGACGCTCATTTTGCTCTTTAATTAATCCAAACAGATGTTCAGCATGTGATGGATACTGTCTATCTCGTGTACGCGGTAAGATTGTGATTATGATTAAATTTCTCTTCTTTACAGTGTTTTTGTATTTACATACATATATAATATAAAGTTGGTGAAAAAGTAATTGATTCTTGAACAATATACCCTTAGACTTCTATCCTTATTGATCACTAGGGTTTCTTAACATTTAGCCAATCTGAAGCTTATACATATGAGTGAGTAGATTTTTTTTTTTTAAAGAATGTTTGGCGTGCAGTGATTGATTGTAAAGGCTTTTAGGGATTTTGAGCTTCTTTGAGAAATCTAGAAGGTAATCATTCACACCATAACACCTTCTTTAAAAATGTAACTATATTTATTAGGGTTTCTTTATATTTCATACGATTTTCTTCACGTGTTCAAAGTTTTTGTGTTTTTGAATTGACAGGATTCTGACAATTTTTTTTACTCCTTGGAAGTTGTAATTCAGTTTCAAACTGATGTGGGTTATCGATTGACAGATCTAGTGGTAAGCTAAGGGGGGGGATTTCTGTTTTGTTGTTTCTTTCTGTTTTCGAGGAACTGAGTGATCCTTATAGGGGAGATCCAAGGTGTTATTGTTCAAGAGTCTGCGCTTGTATTACCTACTGACTTCATATCAACTGGTGATAGGGACAGGATTCGAATCCTAATGGGATGGGAGTAATGATTCGCTCCGTAACAATGTGCTTAAGTGTTTACAATGGCATATACTTTCAACTCGATTCTCGAAGCTCTGATATTATGTGTCTGATTTTCTCTAACATATGTAAGCATCCTCGTGTTATTATGGACATTCTTCTCAAAATGAATATTTGACGTCAAAGGGTGGAAAACACTCTTCGAGACCAGTAGACAATTCAAGCTGTAGAAGGGACCAGAAAGTTTCAGTTATTCTATCGTTTTTACCTTTAAAATGTTACTAGTGTCTTATTAAACTATCATCTAATTAGTTATAAGGCTAGGTGGAGATGCGTTGTTCAACTAAACAATTGTTAGGGTAACTCAACTCTGTATAGCAACGAGAAATCACAAGTACCAAAACCAACTGATACCTGTTGCACAAGAGATAGCTTTTGTACTCCAACGGCCCAGTGAAGGATGCTTTGGTGTTTTGTGTGATGGGTACTGGGATTGAGTCGCAGGTGAAACAAAATCACATCGGGGTGCAGGTGCATCCAGCTGACAAGTCCCAAATAGGACGAAACATGCGTCCCGGATTCCACTACTAGTCACCAAGATAAATACAACATCATGAATATTCGGTAGTATCCAGGCGTCCGTATATGAGCCCATCTGCTAAATGCTTTTGAATATTGATAATGAACGACCAAATGTGTTTAGAGGAAAAATCAAAATGCAGCTCGGTATCCTTGTGTACGTTTGTGCATTAGGGTATAAACCCCATGTATTGTGGGAAAATCCTGAAGATACTATCCATTTACCTATCAAGGTCCATGATCCATGACCCATTGGTTATAAATTCAATGTCTAGACCATCATTTTGAGGCCGACAAATAATGTAACTTAACATTATGCTCTTCAGTTTAACCCTTCTGAACGTTGAACACACATTTACACTTTCTCTTGCATTAGTTGTTCTCTTGTTTGATTGAAAAGTTGCAACAATTTCCGGTTTCAATAAACGTTCTTGATTTTTTTCAAATTAATATGGGGATAGAGAGAAATGACTAGTCTGAAGAGGGACCAATCAAAATGTAGTTTATGTTATCGAGTCTATAGTTAGACAGACAGACGGTGAATCTCAACCAATCAACGGTATTGTTTTATATGTATATATATTCCTTTGTTCTTGTCATTGGTCTTTCGACTCCAATACACGATTCTACACGTCCATTGTGTCTTCTCCATGAATAAATCGAGTCAGGAATCAACTAGCAATTTGTTGAATGCTTGTGGCTAACAGTCGATCTCCGTGCATTGTTAGCGACCATAGCAGTTTGCGAATCATAACACAAATCATATACAGTGATACTGTATTTGAATATTTACTGTTCTGTTGTTGTTTCACTTTCTTTAAATATATTTATTCCTCCTTTTAAATAGATTTAACACGATATCAGGTACTTCCTCGTGGTTTATTATTGAACAATTGTATAGAGACCGCATATCTGAATGTGAGTTATTTGAAAAGTCTTTATCATTATGCCTTTAAATTGATGTTGAGTTATCATGGAACATGAATCCCCACAGACATGTGTAGATTTGATTGTAACCTAGGCTGAGTGGTCCAAACCCCTTGGTCTACCAACTGGAAGTTGACTGTTCAATTCAAGAAACCAGATCTGTATCAAGTACAAAAATGTACCACTGCTTATCATATGGTAATCAGGTTGTTTACAATATCTTCTTTTCACACAAAGTAAATCATAGTCCGAGTAGTTAAACAATGATATCATCATCATCATCATTTAATGATGGTACAGAGTGGCGGATGATTGGATTCAGGAAAAACGTGTGCAACCAGCTGCTCAGTACCACACTAAGCTTCGTAATTAGTTATAGAATGCCCTCTGGATTACTCTCAAACATCTTAAATGATTAAGTGCTTTTGAAGTGAGAAGGTGGAAGTGACTGATGGAATAATACGAGATACGAGAATTTTACTAGTGCAATGAAATACTTGAACTGGCGACGAATAGTGACTGTTCTCCCTCAGACCTGATACTTCACTGAACCAAGGAAATCTGAAGACAAAGATCGGCCTGCGACTGTAAGCAAGACAACTTTATTTGACAAGAAGCACATCATTTATATACAGTTTCCCCCCAGAAAATGAAACCACAAGGTCATAAGTTGAATGCTTATTTTGATTGGTTAGCTGAAGGACAAAATTGTCCAATAGAATTTTTCCTGCCCAACAATAACGTTGAACAAGGTTGAAAGCCAAAACTTAAAATGTAGATTTTGATTTCAACCGGTCCCTATCAGTTTTCACTTGATTTTCTTAAGCTTTTAGGAGTGTATAGGTAGAACTTTCCAAAAGCAGCCTAATATTCTGCTGATCATGAATTTGTCTAACTGTCTCATATGCAAAAAACTTTGGTAAATCAGAAACAATGAACAGTCGAATCATCATAGTTTCAACAATTGACTTCCGATGATTTCGGGTTCAAACCGCACTCCATTTATTGAGGTTTGAACAGCTAAGTAATCAATATCATAGCCTTCACGAACTTGATATCTCTTAAATTTCCAGCCGTATCACCTAGAATCTGCAACTACGATTTCGGTTGTCAGATTGACGCCAACCTGGAAGCCTGTATACACTCATATGGCTTAGACCAACAGTCAAAGACTTCATAAATTGATGCCATTTTGTAGTCCAGTCGCCATTTTAATCATTTCTTAGCCTGAACCTACTTGAACTAACATTTTAGGGGGAGGCAGACGGTGACTAGACATGTGTAACACGTGTTCGAGCCATCTGAGGCAATGAGGGTTCATAACTGCATCATTTGGTCTACCTCTTCTGCTTAAAGGTTTACGCCTGACTTTTATGCTACTGATATGATGGCACCACAACACCTGGTGTATGCTATGAAGGAAATGCTGGTTGAAAACGTCTACTTTAATCGACCATGTTTCACAGCCATATAGTAGAACAGGCCAAACTGCAACGTAGTACACTTGATCCTTATTGTGCAGCAGTCAGTTATTATGGTGGCGCCATAAGTAGCATAATTTAACGAAAGCCAATCGTCTTTTTGTATCTGCGCCGAGATTTCGTCGGTCACTGATTTACCAGGTTTGATCCGACTTCTCGCTTAAAAGAAGTAGTTAACGCGCTCAATCATTGTCCACTCGATTTTTAAATGGGATGGAGTGTCAAAGTAGACCAGTCCTGGAGCAATAGTTTAAATTTAGGTAATGAGGAATGCATCCTGACACATTCCCATATTGTCACTGAGTGTTTAGATGACTTCATCTTCGTCAACATCTTCAATTAACATGACTCCATTGCCTGTATCTGTAATCTGGTTCTTTGAAGAAGTTTCCTGTGACAAGATCAATCCTTGTAGAGTCGGATGACCAGAGGGGGAGATCTATTTTAGTACGTGAGTGATAAATTTAAGAAGAAAAAAGAGAGTCGACATCCCTGACGAACAACATTCCATGTACACAACTCACGTGATACCTTACCATTGCACAGATCTAATTAGTTTTCTTATACTTTGTAATTTATACTGTTCTACTTTGCACTTGATTAATGTATCATCTATGATCAACAATGTTTGAGTTTTTTCTCTCTTCGTTTTAGGACTATCTAGTCTCACAAGGAATACCTATTCCACTTTTTATTCAACAATGTCTAGTTAATATCAGTACAACAGTTATTTATCCTTTTTGTACATTAAGTGAAAATTCTATTGTATGCACTAGTTGTGGTGAAAATATACTTCGTAAACTTGCTTACAACTATCGTATATCATTGCCTGCATCTCAAATACTATCTGAGGCTATATCTAGACCAGATTGTCGTTATGGACATTATTGTCGTACTCAGCGAAATAATATTGAACATGCAAGACGATATAATCATATCTGTGAGCCAACTTTCTGATTTTCATATTTCTTTAAACCTTCTCAGTTAGTAATGATGATGTGTTCACCTGTTTCTGATCTCTCTCCCTCTCTCTGTTTTTTTTAATTATCTCAGTCACTTTCAATTTCATGTGATATTTCAAAATAATTTTGATTTTCTTTTCAATACTGTTTTTGATGTCACTGAGCGGAATAATATGGAATACGCGGAACGATAATAACACCAGTTAAGATACTTGGACGGGAGATGAATAGCGACTATTCTCTCAGATCTGACACTTCACTGAGCTGTGAAAGTCAGAAGACAAAGGCTGATCTGTGAGTGCAAAGAAGACAGTTTTTTTTTTCGATAAAAAGTATATCTTTTATATTCACTTTCCCCTCAAAAAATGAAGCCATTTAATTGGTTAACTGAAGGACGAAATTGTCTAATAAGGTTTTTCCGCCCACATAGCAACATGAAACCAAGGTCGAAATTTCAAACTTCTACCTTAATGACTGATGACCTGGAATGTTGATTTCAACTTATTCTACTTTCTATCATTTTATTTTATTGTTTCTCTTCTGAGTTTGCTTACTTATACGTTTATTTTTATACTACATATGTTTTTTTTTGATGGCTGTAAATATTTACAAATTAGTTTTTTCGGTTGTTACTCGGGTGTCGCATATTTCAATGGCATACTAGTCATTCTACTAAGTGCAATTTCAACCGCAGTATAAATAACAAATAAGACAGGGACCCATTAACTAACTGTGTTGTAATTTAATTCATTTTATAAATTCCTGGCATTACTTCCTGTATAATGTTTGTTTGGTGAATTAATTCACCAGGAATTTTTATTTTGTGCATAGAAATGAATTTCTTCTTTTCAATACTTAGTTATTTATCCACCAAGACTTTTTAATTACATGTTTATGCTACTTAATAAAGTAATATAGTAGTAAAGTTGTCTTTGTTATAACTTTCGATATCTGGTGCACTTGCTAAGTAGTTAGAAGTGAACGGACAGAGTTTCAATGTAAACAGTATGTATCCAACCTGGCATAACTGTATGTCTGTCCAATTGGCCATATTTAACATCGAAAGGGAAAGTCGAAAAAATAGTAAGATAAAAACGAATGAAGTGGGATGAATGTGTATAGCTATAAGACTTTCAATTTATCAGTTAGTCAACATCCGTGTGGAACCTGACTGGCATTGCTGCGTAACAGTTAAAGTTGCCACCCACACTTCATATCAGCAAATTATAGATGAGAGATAGAAATAAAGGAGGAAACTGTGTGGAAAGCCAAAGAGTGGAGTGAACCAATGACAGGATTTGATACGACGATTAAGATGAAAGTGCTGATGCTTCTACACCACCTGGGTTGATTTTGTAAGCCATATCGTTTATAGTCTTCAATCACCGATTTTGGTTGTGATACAGACCCTAACCCGAATGTCTACATTTCCCTACATCATACACTGAAGCAGTTAATGGTTGATGCATATAGAGTACATCTTCCTGGCACCAAAATGCAACTAGGCTAAAATAAATAGATTAAATTAACTAAATGAACTTTCAGCTCACCTCCGGATGCTTAAGATATTTTAAGTTTTGTTTTAACGGGCATGCATTCGAGTAGGCTTCGATGCCATTTTGCACTCCCTTTGTGCTAGTTGACACGTACATACTCAGAGTCTCTAGTTCAGCTATACTAGCCAGATAAGTTGAATAAACGTTTCCCCTATAACTACTATTACATTTATTCTAATTAAATATATTGCTTCTGTGGATATGTTCGTAACAGTCTTTTACCTGTTGTTTCGTTATCAGTACTTACACGTCAAGTAAGGTACTGGTTAAACAGGTACTAGAGCACATCAAGTTAAGTAGGGTTGGTCAAATGCTACGTAAAAGTAACACAACCAACACTCCTTACACATATCTCAAACAATATATACCTAGGTACAGATTAAAGTACGCCTACACAAAACTCCACTTGTGACTGTACTCACTTTTAGTTTCATCACATCTGTAGTCGAATACATGTGGTCTGTATATGCTGTTTTGTCTTAAAAACCAACTGTCTTATATCTGTGTAGTAAAACAATCGAAATTGTTTTGCTAAGTCGTTGGCGAGTCAAGTTATTATGTCATTGATCGTATAAGTTTTTTAATTTATGCTGAACATTGCATTAACTGTTTTCCTAAAACTTACCAATGATAAAGCTTGAGTGAGTCAAGGAAACCGACATCGCTTTTTCGTTTAGATTCATTCAAAACTGTTATGTTATTCAACAAACTGAGTAATGTGTTAAAATTTATGTACGGAGTGGTTCGTATCAGAAAATTGTTTATTATGTGTAATTGGATAATAGAAAATGTTTTAGAAAGAATTCACAGTAATTACCGTGTGAACATTTTTTGCATACAACATGCCATTCTGATCCGTCCATCCAAATCAACATAGGACCAGGCATTACTGCATAACCCTCATATCAGTACATCACTTAAAAAGACAGTCAAGTGGAAGATGAAGAAAAGAAAATTCAATCAGAAGAAATATAAAGTACTAAAAGAGGGAAAGAAAGAATGAGAAAATGGTGAGATTCAGTAGAGCGTTAACATGAGGATAATTGTGCATACCTCTACGTCACTGACATCGGTTCTCAGTTATGATCCTTCATCTAGAGTCGCCAACCACTGGTTTCACTTGTCCCACTGACACCAACCACCTAGTCTGCTTAGCCCCACATGGCTCAAACCAATAGTCAAACACTTCATACATTGATGCCATGCTTTAGTCTGGCTGAGAGTCTCGAGTCTTTTTCCAGACTGAACCTACTTCGACAACATTGTGTGACGAGGTGGATGGCGACCAGGCATACATAACACGTGTCCCAGCCAGCCATCTCAGTCGATGAAGGTTCACAACCACATCAACTGTCTCACCTCTTCTCCTACCTGAAACTCTACACCTGATTTCCGCGTTACTCACGTGGTGAGACTACGACACGTGGTCTATGCTATGAAGGTAACGGTGGTCAAACACCTGAAGTCAGCCTTCTCATGTCTTCAGTGGCCATGTTTCACAGCCACGCAGTAGAACAGAGGTGACTGCTGTGCAGTACACGCACCCCAATAGATAATCGGATATGGAACGACAAAGTGAACAGTGTTAAAGTTAGGCGTGTGGTACTATCCAAGGGAAGGAAGTCAAAAAGTTTGTGGGTATTTTCTATTTAAGGTGTGTTGGAAAATTACCCTATACACCTGGCCAAGTTTAACCTCCGTATCCAATGTTAACCAAACTAAGATTTGTGTAGCTTCATAAATTTAATGACCTCTCTTTTTCTGACCTTCAAACTCTTGAGCAGTTTAACAGCACACCAGGTAATAATTCCAATGAATAAAGAAAGTTTTGCTATCATGAAGTATCATGACTTCGACTGGTATGTAAAGTGACTGAGTGGAAGCGACTGACAAAGTAATACGAAATATAGGAAAGGCTACTAATGTAGCGAGACATTTATACCGGAGACGAATATCGACTGTTCTCCTTCTAGCCTGGACTTCACTGAGCCATGAAAATCAGAAGACAAAGACCGGCCTGTGACCTTAAAAAAGACAACCTAATTTGACGGAAATGCATCATTTATATACAGTTTTCTTCAGAAAATGAAACCATGTGGTCATAAGTTGAATGCTTATTTTGTTTGATCAGCTGGAGAACAAAATTGTCCCACACAGGTATATGAAATAGGTTGAAACTCAAAACTTCTACCTTACTGTCTGATCACTTAGAATGTTGGTTTCGATTTAGACCGCTTCTATCAGTATGGTATTGTGTAAGGTTTTTCATCGTGGTATCTATCAGCAAATGTACAGGAAGAAGATAGATTTCTACAAAAGGGAAAGAAATAACATGAACCGATAGCAACCAATGCAGTTGTCTAGTTGTTGTTGGGGTGCATTTTATTTAGAATAACAGTTGGTCGATAGGAAACCTTGACCATGAATTATACTTTTGAAGTATATGTATGACTTGGAAATACGAAAAAAGCCAGGATTACTTGAGAAGCATGTTAAATTACGTCATAAAAGTTGTTTTGAATGTCTTTCTTCATATCTCTAGAGTGTGGCGCTATAGTAGAGTGAATATTAGTACAGACTGAAGTTTAGCTAAATATCAGCGTCAAAAAATCAAAATATTTCTTTTTACTTTTGTATTTTTACTAGGTGATGAATGAAGCTGAAATGGGAAAATCTGGGTCATGGGTGGATTTGAAGCAGCGCTCTACGGGTTACCTGTTCGATGCTATACTAACTGACTTAATGCCTTAGTGTGATAGACATACCTCTAACCTACGTACGGTTAAATCATACCTGGACTTAGGTTTCATGGTTGGTACAAGTCATCAACAAGACGCATACATCTGGGACCCTGAAAAAGGTTGCGCTCTTTTGGATATTCAAAAGTGTGCCATTCAATACCAAAGTGAAATATGAAGCTGAAATCAAAGCGAATAGCATATTGAACACTGGCTGACAGTTTTCACTAAACACTTTTATTTGTTGCCCTCAAGTTTTTGGTCAGTACTTCTATTTTCAAAGTGTCACATCCTTCCACTGCACGCATTTTTGTTCAAGATATCTCATAAAATAAAGCTTATTACTCCTATTAGGTTGGTATTCATCATAGAATGGCATCAGCTGGAGGAATATTGGGAACTGGAGGCACTGCACAGCTGTTTCGTCCTAGCATGGGACTCTTCAGCTTGAAAAATCTATTAATCCCCATAAAAAACCCCCCAAATTCAATTGAACTAGTGCTTATTCGCAACTAGCTTTAAGAGGTGATTCCCGAAGTTCCAATGAGAAGTTGCGAGCAGTGGGGAAAGCCTGGTGGACGTGAAGACATGTACTGAATGATAACATTGGGTGGTGGTCGCGCTATGTCGTGAACTGATAGAAGTTGGAAATATGGACCACTGGATTCTGTCAACCCAGTGGCTCAATGGTAACGTGCTGG